ATCTTTATCTTTCTCTCTATTTCAGTCTTTTTCTATTTCTTTCCCCATATCTCTTTCTCCCTATCTCTTCTCTCCATCACTTTCTATATCTATTTCTTCCCTTTTTTATTTTCTTGATACGTTACTATAAATTGTTTACGGAAAGTCTTTTTAACTAAGGCATTTTTGAATCCAAAAGAGGAATTTATTTGTTTCCTTTTTCCTCGCATCGTCTGAGAGTCAACTTTCTCAAAGGGACTAAAGTTGACAATTCACAATTGAACCACCCAAGTGGTTTTGGAACGCCCTTTTCACATCAATCTAAGATCAGATCTTTAGAGCCAATTTTAGGGTCAACATTTTTGGCACGCCTGGTGGGACCCCATCAGTTGAGCAAGTTATAGCAAAAATGCCTCCAAAGCTAAGAGGTTCGAAAGACGTGAATACAGGAGATAATACTGAGGAAGAAAATCCACAGATCAGCGTAGGCGATGATGCCGACTCATCTATTCCATCCGACGTCCCTTTGAGTCGGGTACTGGAATCTATTATGCATAAAATTGATGCCCAACAAGCACAGATCGGCGAGGTAAGATCCTAAATAGGAGAATTAAATCAGCTTCTGGTTGCTCAAATGAGGTCGATGACAGGGGAGTTAAACCAAATGGTGTACACTCAGTTGGAGAAGATGAATCAGGAACTTGAAACCAATGTACCGGCAAATCAAAGCCGACAAGATCAGGCTGAAGCGTCTCATGTCAATGAGTCCATTTTTTAGCGTTTGACGGCACCATTGGTTCATATATCCCAAGGACCTCGAACAAGCACCATATTGCCAAATGTAGGACTTGGTGTTACGATCAGCGATGTGCCGAATCATACACTTGGCATGCCAATGGGAAATCCGCCAATCTTATCAAATTCGTTGGTGGTGAATCTTGTGCAGGTGTTTCAGCCATTAATAAATGATCAGCCAGTGCAGCATTCCAATGAGCAGCCGATTCCACCAGTGAGAAATCAGCAAGAAGGTGTTGGTCATTTAAACCAAGGTAGGGTCAATCCATTGATACCTCCAGCGGCTACTGGGGGGCAAGTGAATGCCGATCCACAAAGGGAGTGGGTTAATCCATTCATTCCGCGGCACCCAAATGATCTTCCAGGAAGAAATGCAAGGATTGTTAGGGCTCAGATCTTGGCTTTAATACAGGCCGAAGTAGCACAAGGTCCCAGACGCGCTCGGCCGGTATACAGAAAGCCCTATCCTGATCACGTTGATGCCCATGAGTTGCCTAGAAATTATCGGTATCCCGATTTTTCTATGTACAGTGGCGAACAAAATTTTTCTATACTACAGTATATTGCAAGGTTCACTTCACAATGTGGAGAAGCTGGTCCTAGCCCTTGGTTAAGGATGAGGTTATTCTCTAGCTCTCTTGTCGAAGCAGCTTTTGAATGGTACAGCAACTTACCGGCTAATTCTATTCAGACTTGGGATGAGATGGAGGAAGCGTTCCATACCCAATTCTACCGAACAGAGACAGAAGCTACACTGGCAGACATATCTCGATTATCTCAGTTGCCGAGTGAATCGGTTGAGACTTTTGTTGCCAGGTTCAGAAAGGTTAAATTCAAATGCCGAGTAAGTTTGCCAAAACCAAAATACATCAAGTTGGTATTAAATGGTTTAGACATTGAACATCGCAAGAGGTTTGATGGGGTTGAGTTTCAAGATCTCTTTGATCTGGCAGACAGGGCTTCTCGGTATGAGGAAATATTAAAAGAAGAGAAAGAGAGGAAGAATTCTTCTAAGGGTACTTGGTACAAGGACCTTAATTATGAGGAATTCTCGGCAGAAGTTGGAGATAAATTAGAAGTTGACGTTGTAGAGGTTAATATCAAAAAGCCATACGTTTGTGAGGCGTTGGTTAAACCTAAACCGACCACGGGGGGCAATTCATCAAAGTCAACATTGGCAGCAAGGAAAGGTCTTGCCGATACCGGGAAAAGTTATTCGTTCGACTTATCAAAAACAGATCAAATTTTTGATCACTTGATGGCCGATAAAATGATATCTTTGCCTAAAGGGCATAGGATTCCATCGGCAAGTGACTTAAAGGGAAAAGAGTATTGTAAGTATCATAACTCTTGGAACTATGCTACTAATGATTGTATTGTTCTACGAGGTGTATTGCAGAAAGCTATTGACGAAGGCACTTTAAAATTCCTGGAGAAAACTCTAGAGACTATGAAAGTGGATACTAATCCGTTTCCAACAATCACATCTACAAATCTAATAAGCTTAGCCAAGCGAGAGAATCGGCAGGAGGCAGAGAAGATATCTGGTGAGTTCCTTTCATCAACTGAGACACCTGAAAAGATGGTAGAATTGCAGAAGCAATTAAGGGAGGCTCAATTAGCCTTGATTGATAATGGTTGCTGTCCAAATTGCAAAGGAAAGCAACAACCAAAGGAAGATGTGCCAGTGGAGGTTCAACCAAAGAAGAAATGAATTTTTGAGAGGCTTATTTTCCCATTGAAGCATGGGGAAGAGCCTCGGCAAGGTAATTCCAGCAACAACCATTTGAAAGCAGGAAGGCCAACTTGGCAAGGTGATATATCTAGCCGATTTCATTCCCAAAATCGGCATCCCAGTTTTAAGAGGCAGTCACCGGTTCAGTCAGAGATTTGGGTACAAAAAAGAGCCAATTCATATATAGTACGAACTGTGAAACCAAGGACAGACTCGACTGAAGATAGATGGACTCGAGTTAATCATTCAAAGTTCCCTAAAGCTCAACAATCTCAGAATGAGGGTCTAACTCGATCTCAGAAGCGTAGAGAACAAAGGAGAAGGGCTGAGGGAAAAAGAAAAGTTGAAGGAGGAAGCAAAGTAGTGCAAGCCGAGGCTATCAGCGTTCCAGATAAAGATAACCCGGATGAAGAGCATCAGCCGACGTGGCCTAGATGTAACAATGAATTCAGAATTCAGTTTGGCAATTTTCCAGACGAGATGTCACGTAACATGGCATTTGTGTTACCAGCAATGTTCCAGGCTCCATCGGCATCAAATGCAAATACTGAGAAGTATGAGAAGGAAACTCAGCCGATTCGGAATTTATCAATTCCTTCCTTAGAATCGGCAGAGAAGGTGGTTTTTGAAAAACCTTTGTTAGCAATGACTCAACAGCTCAGGCCTTTGTATGTTAAGATGTGGGTAGAAGGTCAACCTATTAATCGAGTCTTGGTAGACAATGGCTCGGTTTTGAATGTTATTCCAGCAAACACATTGAAGAAACTCGGCAAAAGTATGGAAGATGTTATTCCTACTGATGTGGCAATTTGTGATTTCAACAAAGGTTCTACCAGCATTAAAGGGATCCTTCCTTTAGAAGTAGAAGTTGGAGGTAGGACATCTTATGCGGCATTTTTTATTATTGAATCCACGGCTTCCTATAATTTGTTATTAGGCCGTGATTGGATTCATCCAAATATGTGCATCCCATCATCATTACATCAGATGCTAATTTTTTGGGATGGAGATAAAGTAAAAATAGTAAATGCCGATGATAAGCCATTTGTGGCAAAAGTGTATTCGGCAGATGCTGTTTTATATGACGAAGAATGTGTTCCTATCCGGTTTATGGGAACAGGAGCAGATGGAAGACCAACCTCGGCAACCATGAGAAGAAGTCTTGCCGATCGTGAAATAGGCGAGTTGCAACAGGAGAATTCCAGGCCGAAGGTAGAACTCCCTCGGCTTGCTATAATTGAAGAAGTTATTGATGGAAGTGAAACTTGAAAGGGAGGCTGCTCGGCAGCAAGCCTTTAGAGCCGCTTGCATCAGGCTTCAAGCGTACATAGCCGAAAAACGGCTAGAGAAAGAAGCAATAATAGAGCCAGGACCATTGGTTAATCTTACTGAGATCGATCGATTCAGTAATGAAATGTTGGATGCAATTTAGTTGGAAGACTTGGAGTTAGTGCCAGCAAAGCATAATGATCTTAAAGCAGAAACTCAGGATCCTTTAAAGGAGGTGAATTTAGGCACTGATACAGAGCCTAGACCTACTTATATTAGTGCACTGTTAGAACCAGAATTATAAGCCGAGGTTATCGGCATGTTGAAACAATACCGTGATTGTTTTGCTTGGAACTATGAAGAAATGCCGGGTTTATCCATAGATTTGGTGGAACATTGGTTGCCCATTAAAGATGGCTACAAGCCATATAAACAGCCACCTCGTCGAATGTCTTAAGAAGTGGTAGACAAAGTCAAGGTGGAAATCGAACGATTGTTGGAGGCTGGCTTCATTCGAACTACAAGGTATGTTGAATGATTATCAAATGTTGTCCCTGTAATCAAGAAGAATGGAAAATTACATATATGTGTTGATTTCCGAAACATAAATTTGGCAACTCCAAAAGATGAATATCCAATGCCGATAACCGATCAGCTAATTGATGTGGCTGCACAGCACCAAATTATGTCTTTTATGGATGGATACTTAGGCTATAATTAGATTTATATAGCCGAGGAGGACATTCCAAAGACAGCTTTTAGGTGTCCCAGATCGATTGTAACTTTTGAATGGGTGTTAATGCCTTTTGGGTTGAAGAATGCTGGTGCCATATATCAGCGAACCATGAATTCTATTTTTCATGATATGCTCGGCAAGTTTATGGAGGTGTATATTGATGATGTGGTGCTAAAGTCAATAACAAAGAAAGAGCACTTAGTCCACCTCAAAGCATCTTTTGAGAGGATGAGGGCTTATAAGCTAAAAATGAATCCAATAAAGTGTGCCTTTGGAGTATCGGCATGAAAATTTTTGGGTTTCTTGGTTCATCAAAGGGGTATAGAGATCGATAGGAATAAAGCTAAGGCGATTATTGATGCTAGTGTACCAAGAAGCAAGAAACAGTTGCAGAGGTTACTTGGACAAGTGAATTATCTTAGGAGATTTATTGCTAATACAGCTAGGAAGTTACATGTGTTTTCCCCGCTACTCAAGTTGAAGCCGATGGAAGAATTCAAATGGGATGATGTTCATCAAAGGGCATTTGACCAGATTAAGCAATACTTGTCGAGTCCTCCTGTCATGATGCCACCAAGGAAGAAATGGCTGATGAAATTATACTTATCGGCTGCTGAAGAATCCATTGGAGCTATGTTAGCATAAGAGAATGAAGCAGGAAGTGAACAGGCAATATATTATCTCAGCCGAGTTTTAACTCCAGTTGAGTGTAGATATACACCGATTAAGAAATTATGTTTGGCTTTATATTTTGCAGCAATGAAATTAAGAGTCTATATGTTGCCTGTTTTGGTTTACATTGTTCGTCAAACAGATCTTTAAAGTATATGCTATCAAGGCCATTAATCACAGGTCGGATCGGCAAGTGGGCTTTGGCACTAATGGAATTCAACTTTTCATATGTTCCACAGAAGGCAATTAAGGGAAGAACATTAGCAGATTTTCTTGCCGATCATCCCTCGCCTGAAATTGAGTCACAAGTATTTGATGAGCTTGATTTGGCAGCCATATTCATGACTCCTTGGATGTTAATGTTCGATGGATCGAGTACCAATGAAGGGTCAGGAGCTGGCATTGTGCTAATATCCCCAACAGGGAATCAAATTTCGTTTTCTCTCTTTTTGGATTTCAGGTGCTCAAATAATCAAGCCGAGTATGAGGTAATGATTATCGGCTTGGAAATTTTGCTAGAAATGACAGTCAAAGACGTCCACATTGTGGGAGATTCGAGTTTAGTAATTAATCAAATTTCAGAAGACTTTAGGTGCTTGAATTGGCAATTAAGACCATTTCATTTATTGGCAACCCAATTGGTCAACCAATTTCATAATGTGACTTTGGTATATAGACCAAGGCCATGAATAAAATAGCTAATGATTTAGCACAGACTGCTTCAGGAGTCAGGGTACCGAATGGTATGAAGGAAAGAATAATGAAGATTACACGCCGATCTCTTCCATCGGCTGAAGCAAGAAATCAAATCATGGAAGAAGTCTTCGCCACTGATATGGCCGAGTTGGATGATGATGATTGGCGAATTCCTTACCTTTTGTTCTTGCAATATCCAACTCCAGAAGCTGATTGAAGAATTAAAAAAAGTGCAGTTGATTATGTGCTTATGGATGGAGATCTTTATAGAAGATCGGCTGATGATGGTTTGTTATTTCAGTGCATTAGTAAGTTTGAGGGTTTGAAGATTATAGCTGAGGTACATGAAGGAATATGTGGAGCTCACCAAGCTGGCATAAAGATGAGATGGTTGATACGACGATATGGATATTATTGGCCTGGAATGAGAAAAGATTGCATGACTTATGCAAAAGGCTGTATAGATTGTCAAAAACATAGCCCGATGCAGTGGGTTCCGGCAATAGAAATGCAATTACTAGTTAAACCATGGCCTTTCAGAGGTTGGGCTATGGATCTGATCGGCAAGATTAATCGCCTTAATCAAAAGGTCATCATTGGATTATTCTAGCTACCAATTATTTTACTAAATGGGTAAAAGCCAAGGAATATGTATCGGTAACTCATAATACCGTTATACAGTTTTAGGAGCGACATATCTTTCACCGATTTGGACTACCGGAAACAATTGTTGCCGATAATGGATTTGTTTTTCGAGCAAATGAAGTATTACAACTCGGCATTGATATGCAAGTGAAAATGGTTACCTCAACACCCTATTATGCTCAAGGGAATGGCCAAGCAGAAGCGTCAAATAATGTTGTGATTGAAATTATTGAAAAAATGATAAAAGACAAGCCGAAACGATGGCATGAGGCCCTTTCAGAAGCCTTACGGGCCTATAGAAACTCAAAAAGGACAAGTACAGGGACAACTCCGTATTAGCTAACGTTTGGTCTTGATGCAGTGTTGCCGATGGAGTTAAATGTAAAATCGGCAAGGGTTGCCTTGCAACATAATCTCATTCCTGCCGATTATAATGAAGTTATGCTTGCCGAGTTAGAAGAGTTAGATGAAGTCCAGAAACTTGCTTTGGATCACCTTATGGTGTATAAAGCAAAAGTCATGAGGGCTTACAATAAAAGGGTGAAATTCAAGTCATTTGCAGAGGACGATATGGTTTGGCAAACAGTTCTTCCACCTGGAAAGGTGGATAGGGTCTATGGCAAGTGGTCACCTACTTGGAAGGGTCCATATTTGGTTCATCAAGTATTGCATGGAGGCGGTTACAGGTTAAAAGATTTAGATGGTGAAGTCCATGAGAGACCAATAAATGGGAGGTATCTCAAAAATTATAAGCCAACTATTTTTGAACTCATGGAGGAAAAGAAAACCTCCACTAAGTAAAAATAGTTTGGATTATGTTTGTTCCGTTTTGTTTGTAAGTTTGTTAGAAGCAATAAATTTGATGCATCAAAATATAAGGCAGTTATAATAGAAAGTTCCAAACCCATATCACATGCCCAAAAGAGTTAAATTGTTCATAAAACACAAATGTTCAAGATTGCTTAAAATTTTCGCAAAGATCTTTAAATTTGGCCTTCAAATCGGCCCATGATGTCTTGGTTCTGGTGAGCTTCACTTCCGCTTGTTTCTTCGACTGTTCCAGCTTCGCTATTTGAGCCTGAAGCACTTTGAATCTCGGTGCGTCACATTCAGTTTGTTTCCTCAAATTGGTCACCTTGTTATCAAGTTGGGCTTTATCTCGTTGAAGCCGAGCAAATTCTGCTTGCAGTTTTTGTTCCCTAACCTCCAAATTAGCAGCTTCCTTCTTCAAAGACAGATGAAGTTCTCTTCCACAGTTTAAGGATTGCGAAAGTTTTTTTTCTTGGTTCTGGGAAACACATTGGTTAATGGTTTGAGTGGATCAGCATAGGAAGCAATCATAGAGGGAACTTGAAGCTGAAAACTCTTAAAGAAGGATTGATCATTCGAAGAAAATCCTGGGTAGCTACTCAAGAAGGAAAGGGTCTCGGTAAGTTCCGCTTTGAAGGAGGAAATCGAAGACAAGTCTTGCTGCAACATCTGGGACAATAAATGAATGGCTTTTGTTATTTCCAAAGGAGTTTCAGGGATTTCTTCAGTTGCAGGGGGTTCAAGGTCTGATAAATCAAATACTGATTCAAATAAAGAATCCAGGGTTGCAAAAGGGGAACTTGGGTGGATGCTGGTAGGTATAGATGGAGAAGCCGGGTCTTTGTGTACCTGAAATATTATGGTCAGTCTCAATTCTTATAAGCTTAAATAAGTAAGTTATGTAGATCAATACTTACTTCAGCAGAATCCCCAATTTGTTCCTTTACGACGGCTACAGTTGGTTGCTTAACAGAAGTTGGAGAAAGTGGTGTTGGGGAGGACTTATGTTCCTTTCCCATTGGTATTTCCATTTTTTCAATACTATGGCTTGTCTGTGGAGTTCTCTGGAAATAAAGCTGATTTAGTCATTGCAATCAAATGAAGACACGATGTGAAAATCAGGCACAAAGGAGTTTTACCGGAAGGGTTTCAGAGACAACTTTCCTTTTCTTAGACATGACTTCATCTTCATCTAAGTCATCATCATCATCAATCAAGACAAAGTGTCTCTTGGCTCAGGATTTCTTAACAGGTTTCTTCCCAACACTTTTCTTTCTTGTCTTTTTCTGAGGAAAAATGTTAGCAAAGGAAATGATGTGCATTAAGAGAATAGAGGTGAATGAATTATGAATATTACCTGAGCAGTAGCTGGGGATGGGGGTATGCTTTGAAGAGGTACATGAAAATCGATTTGGGTTTCCTCAGACTTAGTAGGTATTGATTGCTCAGGTACATTTGAGTGGGTGCCTAAAGTCATCAGAGTAAGCATATAAACAAAATATAAGCTTATATTTGAAGGTTAAAGGTATAGAACTTACTTTGTCGGGAACGAGACCTGGTTCTGCCTGCAGGAGCAGCGGGAGGAGGATGATTTAGTGTTGGGTCTATTATGCTCTCTGGCTCCCGGGGGGGGGGGGGTAGTAAGTGCAACAGGATCAATTGAGTCCACGCCTTGAAAGTTGAGGGAAATAAATTTGTAGGAACTAAGAAGGTTGCATACAAGCTGATTGGAGTCTACAGTCCTAGTGAAGTGGATGTATGATGACCACCAAGTCTTAAAGGCTGGAGTAGTATGTGGTTCTTCCACAAAGGGCTTGTAATGAAATTCTTGGAGGCGCTGAGTAAATCGGTTGGTTACATCCTGAAATTGTTCACTATTCAAAAGCTTGACCCGCCGATGATAGTTTTTGTTATAAGAAAAGTGGGGTAGTACTGGGATCATTTGGGTCAATCCGAATTGCCGAGCTGGGTTATAAAATTCTACTCCAGTACAGCTCTTTGGAAGATGAGGAGTAACTGTATTACAAGGAATATCCCTAGCAGTCAGGAAGTGACCCCAAGAGTTGTTGTAAAATTCAACCTGCTCTATTGAAGACTCGGTAGTGGGAGGAAACAGCTAGGATGGAGCTAACCGACACTTAGAAAAAGGGAGAAATTGAGATGGAGTCCTGATTTTACAGTAATGGTAGAAAAATTGAAAACAATCATTGAATGAATGATCTTTGGGCTTTATTTTTGCATACCCAAATGAAAGTAAGGGGTCACTAGGACCATGCCGAATGGGGGGAGCTAATTCGGGGAAGTATGCATGAAGCCAGAATTGATAAAGCCAAAGGGGGCCTCCAGATCTTGAAAAATTAGAGGTAATTAGATCAGACAGACCTCTATACAAAGAAGCTAAAGCAAACAGAGCTAAGGCCATGGGCTTTCCTTTGGATAGTGCAATGGCTAATTGGGTAAGATCTTTAGTGATTTGGATAGCAGGGGCACACTGTAATGACCCGGATTTTTTGGATAATTTTTTTCCGTTGTCTTTTCCCTTCTGAGTTTGGTTTCTTATCGATTAGTGTCGTCTCGAGTGCTCTGGAGTGATTTCTGAGACTCTTTTATGTGGAGTGACAACTTCCTTTGAGGACCGAGTCATTCCCACATTTTTCATTTTTCGACACTATTCACTTTTTGTCTTTTTACCTATTCCGTCTTTTCCTCATTTGTCACTCTGTTTGCGTAACCATACTTGTGTTCGGAGTTGGTTTATGACTTCACGTATCTTCATTCCCAATGATTTCTATGAGATACGTATCTTTACTTTCGTGAGAAAGTACTCTGGTTGCTCCCGGTGTCTATAGGGGCATAAATGCAAAGTTCTTTGGGAACTTTTTCTTTTCTTGGGGTGTTTTTCATAAATATCTTTTGAAGATATTTTATTTCAGGGGTATGTAAGAAAATATCTTTTGGAAGATATTTACATTCTGGGGCAATTTTGGAGGGGTCATTATGCAATTAATGAAAGTTATTGCTTAATGCCTTGTTTTGAGCCTGGATCCTCATATGGGATTTATTTTCACATTTCGTCTAGTCGTGGACTCTTAGAATTTCCTCCTGGACGATGTTTTCGAGTTTTAGGGTTTCTGGCCCCGGTTTGCGTCAAACTTGTTTTGGACATAACTCTCTGCTCGGGACTCAGTTTTCGACGCCGTTTCTTCCGTTATTCATATTTTCTCATTTGGAATCTTTTTTGTTAACAGAGTTTTGCCATTTGAGCGCGTCTGCTCAAATTTCACTTTTCCGGGCCCGACGGTGCCCATTTAGGACACTTTTTGAGTTTTTCTATAAATAGGGGGCCTTTAAGTGAAAAATGAAAATTTTGCTCTCTCTCTCCTCTCTCTTGGCCGGATCTAGAGGCAGCCATGGCTGCCATCTTCTCTCTCTTCTTTTGAGCTTCATCCCTTCAATGAAATACCTTAATGCCTTAGTGTTTATTGTTCCCCTCGGCGAGGCCTTCGATTCCAACCGATTGGAATCTCGTTTTGGCCATTTCTTGAGTTCGGGTTTGAAGTAAAGTTGTGTTTTTGATGGGGCTACCTTGGGATTCATTTTCGTGGTGTTGTCCCCAATAAAACCTAGGAGTTTCGTCGGATTCGAAGCTGATTTATTTTGGTGGGGATTTGATCTCAAATGGAGGTAGGGAATGTTTTAGGCTTTTGTGTGTGTTGTATTGAGTGTTTAGCATGATTATACAACTTATATATGTGCCTTGTATCAAATCTAGAAAGTTAGTAATTTTTAATTCTTTGTATAAGATTTAAAATTCATGATGATATATAACTTTGACTTGAATTGTGGCATGGTAGAAAATCTTGTTTTAATATGTTGGTTAATATATATTAAATTTGGATTAATTAATTAAGAATTGCTCTTTTTAATTAATATTTATCTTTTGTGAAAGATTAAAGTTCATGGCCGTACCTTGTATGAAATTGAGTTGTATTATACTTCTAAATTGAGTTTTGGCATGTTTGTTAACATACTTTAATTTGAGAGCATTTGGTTGAGTTTAAAAATTTAGAGACTTTAATTAAGAGAATTAATTAAAATCTAATTTTGTGGTTTCATGGGCCTAATTAAGCTTTTGTGTGAATATATGTAATGACCATGATATGTCTATTTGCATATATTAAATTGGGGCCAATTGGAAATGATTTGAAATCTAGAGAGTTTAATTATTTTGATGTAATTAGATTCTATCTTGTTTATCCATGGATTTAATCATGTTTTAGAAGGTGCTTCTATTTTAAGATCATGGATTTAGACTTGTGAAGTATTGACTTGATTGTGTTATATGCATTGAAGGGCATTGTTGTTAAATTTATATTCTTGAGAGTATGTTTCTAATATGAATATATTGTTGGCTTGTGATTTCGTAGCATTATGGATATGAAATGCTTATTATGCACAATTGAGAGTTATATTGCTAACTTGTTACTATGTAGTAGTAATATGTATAAGTTATGAACTTACTTGGCTTATTTTGGAATCTTAGAATATTATTGAGTTGAGATGGCTAGGGTTTGGCTCTAGTACGGGGACGTGAGTCCTCTAAGTCATTGAGATAGTGCGCACTTAGGGTGGTCTTCCCTGCTGGTTAGTGCCCGGAATAACCATTGAGGTCTCGGCAGAATTCCGAGCGTGATGTCCAAGTCTTCCACTGATTGTTTTCGCATTCAATTCCAAGTTGACAATCATGTTTACCTTGTTGACTTGTGGTTTTGGCTATTGGCGATTTGATGTTGTTAAGTACATCTGTAATGACCCGGTCATTTTCATTTCTTTCCCTTTCTTCAGATTTTGCGGATAAATTTTTTTCATTGTCTTTTCCTTTTCGGGTTCGATTTCCCGCCTCTTAGTGTCGTCTCGAGTGCTCGGAAATGGTTTCTGAGACTCTTTCCTTTGGATTGACAACTTCCTTTGAGGACCGAGACATTTCCACA